ATTTTTATGTTTCTCCTGTGCAAAGAATATAGAAAAAGTCTCTACAGACTCTGTTAGACAGTTAAGCTTAACAATTCCACTTCAGGCCAAAATGTATACATGTCATACACCAAGTAGATTAAGAAATGGAAGGATATCTTATATTCTTTAATTGTACAGCATTCCTGTCACTGTAGCAAAACCTCAGATTACCCAGAATGCTCAGAGTTGAACTCAATAGGATATTCTTTTTGTGTCAGGATTAACCAGAAAAGTGTAAGGTATGTATGTTTCTATGTATTTATAACACATCGCATTCCAGAACTCATGACTAAGCAGTGCCCTTAATAACTAGCACATTCTACATGATCTTATGACCATCAGCCAACACCAAAGTATAAATATTAAAGGAATTTCAACTCTATGGCTATGTACTTGAACAGAGAAATCCACACCACCATATCTATAGTGTCTCCTGGTCCCTCTCACTCTCCCTTGGAGTTGTGACTTAGGGAATTCAGAGAAAATGAAAAGAACCAGCCTGAGAGTTGCTAGGCCTCCATACCAGTGGTGGAACCTGGGACAGCTGTTTGCCTGGCCTTGGGTAGGTCCTTCACGGAAGCTGTTCTGCACACCTATGGTCATCAGCTTGTCAGCCCCTTTGGGAACAATTCCTTAAAGCTTTCTAAACGCTGTCACCATATTCTTCTGACATCGTAAGTATAACTTATTGAACAGACTTAAATCTTTGATGAACTTACAGTGCTTCAAAGTCATTAGTTTGACATTAGTGACAGTCCTGTGGGCAGTGAACTGTAGATCAGATGGATGCCATACTGACCAAAGAAAACATCTTGGAGTTTGTTTTATGACTAAACCTCTGATACACGTTAGCTTTATTTTGCTTGACTCTTTCCTTCAAAAGTGAGACACAGACAAAAGAAGACACCAAAATACCAACCATTAGGAAGCATTTAAGAAAAACTACGTATTTGAGAGGACTAGATTAGCAGGTAAAACTTCACAAGGGAAATCATAGAATCGTAACACTAGAAGGAATATTTCAGATCAACCATTCCCTTCCCCTCACAGCTGAGGAAGATGAGGCCGAATGGTATGATGTAACCTACCAAAAGCCATGTAGCCAGTCAGCAGCAGGACATGAACTCATGCCTTTGACTCTTTTGACTATGCAAATCACTGAACATGATTTTTAAAAATATTTAGTATAGCAACTAAGCATTCACTAATGCTAATTCCCTAATCAGTGGTATATCATCCATATAAACTCATGGAGCATAAATGAAACCTCTAAAAAAGAAAAATAGGAAAATACACTCCAAAAATCTCCTAAATTTAGGACTCACAGTAGTGTGACACAAAAACTTCATTTGAGTGCAACTTTTTAATCTCATTATTGTCTCACAGTAAATCCTGGCGAAAACGAGTATTATTGAATTTGCGTTCACTCTACAGGGTCATCAGGATACTACTCAGTGGATCTTAGTGGTAACACTGACCAAAGGGACTTTAACAGCTCTACAAATGTCTCACAGTCACTAGGGCCATCTGCCTGGCTTATAAAAATACCATAAATCCTCTTGGTATTGTTTAAAATTAAGTGAGTTCAAAGGTGATCTTCAAAGATGCTATGCTTGAATTAAAATAATATAGGATTATGTTTTAAATTATGTTAATAATGTTTTTAAAATGAATCAAAAGATTATTAACACAAAAGAAAGGCAAAATGTTTTTAATTGAAAGTAATGCCCACCATTTTCACTAACAGCCTTGCATGAGAGTTTAATTTGCTAATTAGACGGATGATGCTGCCTTCATTGTGAGTTATGGGTAATTAGATGTTACAACTGAACTGCCAAGACAGAAAGGGCCCCTCCAAGTGCAGTCAACCAGATCATTATCTGAGGCAAAGCAAGCTAATTATCCCCATGAAGTTCAAACTAGAAGAATTGATCTAAACATCTAGTGGACTCTATCCAGGGTCAGGCCCCTTGTATTTAGTGGGTTTGCACCACACGATCTTTTTAGTACATTAAAGTTTACTTTGATATGAGAAAGACCCAGTATCAGAAAATGTGTATGGTGGGAAAGAAAACACATGTATTCCTCACTGAGTTCCAGAGAATTTTCCATAAACCAGAGCATATAGAAGTCTAACTCCAAAGTTGGGACAACCACTCCCAGGTGACCGTCAACCCTTTGATTTTCACTTTGGAACAACTGGGAAGCAGGAATATTCTAGAATGACTCCTTTAATGAAGTTGTAGAAAATTACTCCTCTTCTGCCCCAAGAGAGGCCCCTTAGTCCTTGAGATCAGGGAGGAAATAAGTAAATGCATGTTGGACTGCAGAGATGGTACTTGGAGGGGTACATTTGACAAACAAAAGTGAAGTTTAAAGAAAGGAGGGAAAATGCTACTTTGGTGGGCTTAACAAATATTCGGAATCTACTTTGAGACCCCCAAATATTGTTGAGAACTTATTTCCATGAGACAATACCTTCTCTGGGTCCAGACAACCAATTCACAAGTAAACTTACAGAATACCGTGTGTGTAAATTGGCAATTTAAAATGATTTTAACACCTTAATACATTACAGTGATGCGATTGTTATATTTTCCTGAACACTTATTTATTACTGTGGGAAATCCTGACAGAATATGGACCTTTCAAGACTCTGACACATAACAGCGTCCAAGTATTGATCACTTATCACTTAGCCATTGCCTTTTATGGTGCCACTGTGTTGCTGGCTTCTGCTTTATGTTTCTGACAAGGTAGTAAAACTTTGGTCTTGTCCACAGGTGTTGTCATATGGCATAACTCTAGGGAATATCTCTTTGCAGCTTGCACACCAATGGGCAGGGTAGAAAGCGGTGAACAGCAAGCAAGCCCTCTACCCTGCAGAACAGCCTCAAAACAGAGAGTCCCAGCAAAGCCAGTCTCTGGTTCTAGATACTGCGATACCACTTCCGTATGCATATGTGTTCATTTATTGCTTTTGTAGAATTTTGCAAATACAAGATGGTGAATTATGAAAAATCTCACCAATATATAGAAGATTCTGTATTTTTTTAATCTTTCAGGTTTAGTGTTCGAAGGCATTTCTTCAGATTAAAAATTATCTTTCTCTTCATGTATATAAGTGACTTACTACAGTGTCCAGTTGCTGACTTAATATGTGAATGTTTGTTGAGTGTACACTAGTTGATCTCTAACTAGAGCCTAATCACAGCTTGACCACCCACCATACTCTAAGAGGAAAAAACAATCCCCCAAGTCTTTTATATCTTATAGATAAGAAAATGTAAGCTTGAAGAGTTTGCCTGAGCTAGTCATATCTAGCACTCTTACAGACCTCCCTCCCAGGTCTATTCTGGGTCTAAATCCTGGAATCTTTGCTTTTCATAGTCTGACCTTCATATCTCTGTTAGTTACACAAAGAGAAAAATAGAAGGGAACATATCTTGAGATAAAAATACTCATGAAAAATCCCACCTATATTATTTGTTGTGTAATGTGAAGTTAGAATCTATTTATTATTATTATTATTATTATTTTAGAAACAAGGTTTGACTCTGTTGTCCAGGTTGGAGTGCAGTGATGTGATCATAGTGCACTGCAGCATCGAGTTCCTGGGCTCAAGGGATACTCCCACATTGACCTCCTGAGTAGCTGAGACTACTTCTGAGCCCCCTCACTCCTGATCCATCTGTATTTTCTAGAGTGAAAATTAAAAAGCCAAATACTGTTTTAATTGACCCATTTGTGAGACATAGTTATAGAACAATCAAGAAAAAAATTAAGTTTTTTTTAACTGCACTACCATTGCTAAGAAATAAGAACAAACTCCTGTGTACAGAGAAACTCCATCACAGAGTAATTCTGACATCTGTTAAACTGGATTGCAGGAAGAGATCACAAATCCTACATGAATCCTCAGTACTGCAGATCATGAGCAGAGACTTAATAATAATACTGCCTTTGATTACAGGCATGCCAAGAAAGTTTGAAAAGTGAAAAACGCAGAGCGTATGCTTACCAAGATTCCATTTCAATGGATATTAAACTATACTTGTCAGAAATTCCAATAAAGCCTTCATAATGTCTTAGACACGGGAGAGTGAATGCAGAGGATATAAAATATAGAAGCCCATATCCCACAGAAACCACCAAATGCTCCTATTTGGCATAAAAGGAACTAAGAGACGGATACATTTCATCACAGCCAGTAGGAAATGTTTTATTCTGTGAATAAGTCATTTGATTTTGTTCCCACTGTTTATTTTTAATTAGAGGAGAAAACATTTCCAAGTCTAAATAGTTAAGCAATATGTCCAAGTCTCAAATTCCCAAGTTCAAAACGACTGTGTAGTATTTCATCTGCGTTCCCTCTCCATATCTGCCTTAACGCAAGCCAGTCACTTTGCCACTTCAAGTCAGAAGCCAGACACAGAACTTGCTTACCAGTTTGCTATTAACTTGTGAGGGGGGAAAAAATCTGTTTAGTTCCTGTTGCTTTAGCAGATACTTTTCTTTCCTGTTGCGTGACATGCATTATATCCAACACAGAGAATAGTAGCCAAAGCCTTGCTGTAAGAGCCCTCTTGTTGGAAATCGCCCACATGCCAGGATGTTCATCTGACTTTTCCCAGCAGGAGCTGGAGGGCAGAAGCCCATGTGGCAGGGCTGGCCAAGGCTGAGCATGGTGGCCGTCAGCCAGCAGGAGCTGCATGATAGTGCTCCGGTGTGTCCATGACTTCCACTGTGTTTAAACAAAGGGCAATATTTGCAGTTTATGAAGCACTTTGGAAAGTATAACATCTAGAAATCTGATCAGCATCTCCCCTCTAGATGAGGAGAGGAGAAACATGCACTTTACAAATGCCACCCCAGAAGTCGCCCTTGGCATTCTCTCTGTGCACAACTGTCCATCAGTAATCCTGTCATGTCTAACGTTTTGTCTTCTTCCTGTGCCCTTCCACTTCCTTCCTAGAACACTTGAAGGATAAGTTGGAAGAATACATGGCCCGATTTTCCAAAGTGAGGATTGTTCGCACCAAGAAAAGAGAGGGGCTCATCCGGACCCGACTCCTGGGGGCATCGATGGCAAGGGGCGAAGTCCTGACCTTCCTGGATTCCCACTGTGAGGTCAATGTCAACTGGCTGCCCCCACTCCTCAGTGAGTACACACCAGGGAAAGGCGGTGGCATCCTGTGAACTAGGGAGCCCAGGGAGCTGAAGTCCCTCCCGGGGAGTAGATGGTTCACTCCTGTGTAGTTTGCTATTGACAAAGGCCAGAGATCCCCTCTACAACTTGTCCAGTGGACCTTGAATTCTCTCTTACCCATTGCTGAGGGTAAATAGGTAACTAGAAAACTGCATTAAAATTGACATTTTCAATAATGCCAACTGCAATCTAACCTCAGGTTTTATTTTATTTTTTATTTATTTTTTTATTTTTTTGAGTTGGAGTCTCACTCTGTCACCCAGACTGGGGTGCAGTGGCCGCTCCCAGCCACCGCAGCCTCGACCTGCTGGCCTCCAGTGATCCTTCCGCCTCAGCCTTCCAAGGAGCTGGAACTACAGGCGCACACTACCATGCCCGGCTCATTTTTGATTTATCATAGAGATGAGGTCGCACCAAGTTGCCCAGGTGGGTCTCAAACCTGCGGGCTCAGGCAATCCACTCACCTCAGCCTCCCAAAGGCGTGGGATTACAGGCTGAGCCACCGAGCCCGGCTTAACCTCAGGTTTTAAAAGATTTCATTTATCTTAGATGTTCTCTTTTATTGCAGTCATAGGCACTGGGTAAACACTAAAATTAAAGGGTGTCTCAAAATTATTTTTATAGTCATCATGTAACTGCAGTGAGATTAAAATACACACACACATTTAACAAGTATTATAGGATTGTTGAGAAATGAGGAAGAAAAGTTATTCAGCTCCAGAATACGGTTAAAGTGTAAGCACCCTGACATTTTCTAGGATTTTTGAGACCATTTCTTTTTTGTTATTCTTTCCACCTCCAACACCAGCCCATATCCCCGAATATATAGTACCCAGTATTTACAGAGACCCCTCGAACACTCCGAGCTGCTCACCAGATGCTGTGTCTTGAATGCTCACAACATGGCTGAGAGGAGAGAGAGAGGAAGACCAGGATAACACATTCAAACTGTCAGAAACACAAAAGAACTGAAAGTAATTTAAGCCAGAAAACATATGTGCAGCTCAGTTTAAGCTTCACTATATTTGCTTTTATTTTACAATAAAGTCAGATATAAAGTCCAGTTGTGGATAAGAAATAAATTGTGCACCTGAAAAAAAAAGTCTCTTTCTACAAAGTTCTTGGTGCGCACACATTGTACTCCCACCTATTCTTCCAGGTTTCACTAAATCAACTTTTATTGTAAATATATCCCTGGCCTTGGAACTAAAGCCACTAACAACTGCCTTCACAATAGCTGTCTCAGAAAGAATGATTTGCTATTGACCACTGTGTAGGATTTCAGCTAGAATCAGTGAAACTCCATTAGCAAAAGATGCGGGGAAAAATCAATTGAAACTGTATAGGATTTAAAACAGAGAGCAACCCGCAGCTCACACCCCCAACACATCACCCACCCACCCACCCGCACACCCCCATACATGACTGCCCAGCCATCGCAATCAATGGGAAGGTTTCAGGGCTCCTGTGGTCAGAGACTCCTCTGAGCTTTTAATTAAAAGTACCTTGTCCAAGGACACAGCAATTTAGAGCTTCATCAGCAACAGCGAGATTCCCTCAAACTGAATTTGACCTGTGTGATGTGGAATACTCAAGGAAGCTAGCAACAAATCTCATTTATTTATGAACCAAAGCAATCCCTAAATGCCAATTATGGAGTCTCTGATTGTCCACTGAGAATCTAACAAATAAGAAAGAAGAAGAGAATAAGAGAAACCCACAACCCACTTTTTCTCATTAAGACATTTCATTTCCTGTAGTCCTGATGGATAAGAAATGATTCAAGCTCTGGATCACTATCTTTTTTTTTTTCCCACCTATCAGTGTCTTGATACATCATCCAAAATGAAAAAAACAGGCGGAGCCACACAGTTTCTTGGTTCATTTTTCACCTTGGGATTATACCTGAATTTCAATTTCCCATTAAGAGTCTGTTTGTTTGATCCTTGGAAATTGAAATGTAGGCACAAGCCTTGGATGAAAAATTAGTCACGCCACTTTCACCTTAAGCTCATGCAACCAGATCAGAGAAGAAAGGAAAATTGAAGGAAAAGTTGACAGTTAATTTAACAGACACATCCCCTTTGGGTCACCTTGGGATTCCGTGATGGTCAAGGAACTTGTAAATCAACCCGATTCTGAATTTGATGGAAGAAAGTCACTGAAACCTTAATGCCAAAATACCTGTAGGGGTGATAGGAGAAATATTTTGGATGCGGCATGAATGGTCTCCTCCATCAAAGTCGTCTCTGGGGAAATATCATTTAGATTAAGATTATAAGACTTGCCCAAGTGAAAACGGACACTCTGAAGGTCCTTGGTGGAGATTGACTGGAAATGACACTGGGGGTCTCTTCACCTGCTAATTAACTGAAGGCAAATGAAGGCACTGCCAGGCTCACTGAGGTTTATTGGGGCCATGCTGTCTAGAACTGCAAACCTTCCCACACTCCAGCATCCAGCATTCCTCCGCCCGGTTTTATTTCTCTTCCATCTCGTTTTCATCTTCTAAAACACCATATAATGTACTTATTATGCCTCTGAATAGTCTTTTGACAGTGCTGTTCACTGCAGTATCCCCTTAACCTAGAAAAAAAGTGATTGGCACATAATCGATCAATAATTGTGGAAACACGAAAACAATGAATGAGTGGGTGGTATTTGGAGGGGACAATTTCCACAGGGTTCTGTGGTTTCCATACTCTGTGACATCAAAACAAAGCCACTTGTTGTTAGAGCCAATAAAACCTTGTGTTTCCTGCCGAAAGCTTAGGAGGATCAGAAGCCAATGGACAGTACCTGTACTGTAAGGACTTTTTATACCTGACACAGATTACATTCACTCTAGGATCTCTGGGAAAAAAAATCAAGATACATAAATAACCAATCCTCATCATAGTACTAAATAATACCTGCTTTTTTCTTTGTTTAATGTCACATGCCACATCCAGAGATCTTTGAAACAACAAGAAAGTCGATGTTCATACTTAAAAGTTCTGTCTGTTAGACAGTATTCATTTGCTACAATAAATATTGATTAAACGCACAGTATAGGGAAGAAAGTTACTGCACCAGCAGCTAGTCTGGGTAAGGCAGGGTATACAAATGCCAGTTCCTGAGCTGGCATGGAAGTCACTGCAGTAACAGTGTCTACAGGGAAGGGACCAGAACAGAGAAAGTAAATCCCTTCTCTGCTACTGTAAGAGTCACCAGGGTACTCTGGAAAGGTCAGGTTTTGACTCTGGATCATTGAGGAGGAGCAGTATCTTGGTTATTGCTCTCAAAAGCTCAGTAATTCTTGACAAGCTTTTTAATTCCTCTGAGCCCAGCTCCCATATACAGAAATTGGGGATAACAGCAATAGTCACCCTACAGGTCTTCTGGGAGTATCCAAAATCACATGAGTGTAAAGCACTTAGTAATTTCTCAAGAACATAATAGTAGGAGAAAGTAGCATCATACCATGTAATAAGTTTGTGAATATGATGAGAGAAGACAGACACATATAGCATTGATAAACAGAGTCTATTTCAAAGAACAGCAGCAAAATAGACGTTGGCAAATCTCTGCATTCTTTGTTTGATTCAACAGCATTTGGGGAGGGGGAAGCAGCCATGGTGATCAGTGTAAGATTAGATTCTACAAAAAGCAAGACATTAAATATTTACATTTTGGAACCTCCAGGAAGCAGACCAGTCTTCTCTCAGCAGGCTCCAGCCGTATGCTTGGAGGGACACAAATATTGTTCCTACTCTGTGCCTGTTGGATGCTTGTTAAAATGACAGATTGAGGACAGGTCAGAGCAAAAATGTGACAGATGTAGAGCTAAATGTACTTCTGCAAGTCTCTCTGGGACACAACTTTCTTAAAGGAAAATACAACAGCCCTAATTGACCCTAACCACTGTCCCATCATGTTAAGTCCAACATTCCAACAATGGTTCCTGCAAAGTGCTCCTAGGGCAGCAGGGAGCCAAGGCCATACACAGGAGGCATTCGTAGGGAACCACCAGCTTCTCTTTGCTGAAAAATGATAGATGACCCAGGCAGGCATGTCATTTCCTATTTTGTGCTTTCATTTTCCAGACCAAATTGCACTCAACCACAAAACCATCGTGTGTCCCATGATCGATGTCATTGACCACAATCACTTTGGGTATGAGGCCCAGGCTGGGGATGCCATGCGAGGAGCCTTCGACTGGGAAATGTACTACAAAAGGATCCCCATTCCTCCAGAGCTGCAACGAGCAGATCCCAGTGACCCTTTTGAGTGAGTAGCAGCTGAGGGAGGGACTGAGGGGTGGAGGGCAAGTGATACGTTATGGGTGTGTCCTGCCGGGGGCCCATGAGGACAATTGTCACTAATAAAATGAAATAAAACAGTTGGCAAACATATTCACAACATCAGAGGAAGGTCACTACACGCTGTAGAAGAGTACAGCTGTGCTGAGTGCCAGGATTCCACCCTTGCAGACTTCACTAACTGTGAGAGAAGGGGTGTGCACAGACAAAAAGCAGGAAAATGCACTGTTAACAGAAAATGCAGAGGGAAGGGACCCATGTTCCCCTTCCGGGTGCTTTCTTCTTATTTCCAGTTCATTCCATTCCTTTGGCCTCTCCCTAAAGGAAGATTGAAATGAACTATTTTATTTTGTCCTTTATTGGAGATTGATACAGAATGGGGCCAGGATTTAAGTCTACATTCTACATCCTGTTAGGAATTGTCTATTTACCATGGAAGGCAGTCTCCTCTCTAGGTGTTCTCACAACTTAAACGTAGGGAATTCAATCAAAAGGTCGTATCCAGAGTAAATCATCTGTGACAATCCTTCCTCTAATTTAAGTGCATACTATACCAAGAAGAATGTGCAACAATAATCTATGGATTGATTTCTACAAAACTAAATCTTGTGTTTTTCAGTGTAAACATGAGAGTTATGTATTTCAAGAAAAAAGGGGAAAGAAAGAAGCATAATTCAATTTGACAAATTATCAGGACTATTAATGGTGAATGATAAACTTTGAACCCAGAGATTGCCCAAGGCATACTGTATCTTTTCCAAATACTGTACCCTCTGATCTCATTAAAACCTATACAATTTTTAAACTATTATTTATATATTTTTTAGCACAAGAAAAAAAAATCTGTGATCAAGGCTTTGCATACTCTAAAAGACCATTTTAAATGCATTAAAATATTATTGTCTTTTCATCAATAATATAGACCATAAAAGTTTGCAGTAAAGAAGCTTACTGAATACAAAATCCAATTCTGTGACACAAACACTTTAAATTACAAACATTTTATAATTATCAGGGAAATGTTTAGCCTAGTCTCTAGAAAGATGAACTCCTGGGGAAGCAGAGGGAGATTCAGAAGACATTAGCCTGATATGGTGCCAGAAAAGACATTTCTTTTGTAAAAGAAAGCCCCTTTATTAAAAATCCAAAGCTCCTGGAGCTTGGCCTCTTTAGACTCTAGACTCACAGGAGTATTTGCAAAGAAATAATGAAAGATCTTTGTTTTTTCCCCAAGTACTTTGGTCAAAATTTCATGGATACCCAAAACTACCAGAGAAGCTTTTTAGTGATCTAAATAAAGGAGGCTCTAATAAGCATTTGACATAGGCTCAACTGAGACATAAGCCTACCTTGAAAGTGCCCACATGAAAGTCTTGGCAGAGAGGCCTTTGGTGGGATAAATGAGAAGTGTGTGAGGTGACGCATGTCGATTGGCTTGACTGAGCTATTCCACAATGTATATATGTTTCAAAGCGTCATGTGTACATTATAAACATAAAATATATACAATTCTTATTTGTCATTTAAAAATGAGTAAGAGGGAGAAAATTTAAAACTGTTTCGAGTATTAAGAGTTTATAAAAGCAAGGATGGCAGAGAGTGTAAAATGGTCTTAATGACTGTAGAGCTGTTATTAGATGCCGGCCCGCGGTTGGGTGGCTACTGCCTGAGGTTGCCATGTCACAGGGGCTAGGATTCACCCAGGATGGCTTACCAAATACTGGACTAGTGATGGTCAGAGCAGAGTGAGTCTCCTGCTTTCTGAAACTGTGGGACCAAATGCTACCAAAGGAATCTTCAGCAGTGAAAACAACAAAAGTGTTTTCCGGGCCTTCCTTGATAGGTGACATTTGTGTGAGGCCGACCCTGGCTGTGACTTTTGCAATATCAAGCACCCTATTTAACCCTTGGGCAGGCAGAATTGGTGACTTTCAGAAACAGATTGTCTCTTGCTCCTGTCCTTCCCATAGGTGGCTGCTGAGCTGTCAAAAATTGCATATTACGGACTTTCTGCTTTAAGTCTCTTTGATTCCTAGGAATGTGGACACTTCAGCCTTTTGCAATAACTGTGATTTCCGGGAGGTGTCCACTCTGATCTTAAGAGCTGTGTTTGCCTTGCTGATCGTAAAAGAGTGGTCCTAAGTAGCTCTGCCCCACGTGTCAGGAAATCCATTATTGCAGTCATTGCCTGAATGTGCTCACAAACAGACGTGCTTTGGGCTAAAACTGGCTTCTCCAGATATAAAGCTTTAAGATATGCAGGACGAAGCTGGTCTATCTATACATCTCTCTTACAGACTTTCATGTTTCAAGAGGCCTCTGCTGGCTGGAGTGTATGGTTTTCTTGGGGGAGACAGGAGAGGAGACTGAAAAGATAGAAAGAAATGAGTGAAAGATGAATATGTAAATATATCACATACCCCAGGACTTTTTATACATTATCTGTGGAAAAGGTATCTTTCTGTAGCAACTTTCTTAAATGCCCTAAGTGACAAGATTTGAAGTCTTTTATTTGTTCTGCTATCATTTGAGGTTTCAGTGACTATTGATTAGAGCAATGTTTTTCAACCTGAAAATTCAGTGATGTTAGTGTGGCATGAACAGTCTTTAATTATTAGTGAATTGGATTGAATGGAATTGAAATTTTCGGAGCATCAGACTAGTGGGTTTCTCAAGAATGTGATTTCACATTTCTCAAGAATGTGATTTCAGTTATAAGGCATATGTGATCTTGGGGCATGGTATAAACTGTATTTATTAATATGGACTTCATGGTCCAAAGCATTCAAAATCTACCAATTTCCTAAACTAGAAATCACGACCTTTGGCAATCAGACTAGGAAGGAAAAGAAAAACTCATTAATAACTTCAAACATTAAGACAATAGTTACTTGTATTTGCAGAGGGATCTAATTTTCAGAGAAACTGCTATGAGAATATGAAAGAAAATGCACTATTCATGGTTCAAACTATTACACAGAGGTCATGATTCTGTTGGATTGAATTGGACACATTTGAGAAACATTTTTGTCTTTTGATTTAAAAAAACCAAAATGTTTTCTTTTTCTGATGACTTATATCAGGAGGTAATGCTTTTAGGAAATTCTTGTTATCTGTGGCTTTTAGAAACCTTCCTCATTCCTGATCTGTCTTGAATGCAGGACGCTTAGGAATGTAAGCCTTCTCCATGTGACAAAACATGACACACTCCTTCAACCATGAAGACAAAGGGGGAAAAGTGCTTTCTGATCACTAACTTACTTTCCTCAACCTCATCTCAACATCTAAAAGTTTAGAAAGAACCAGAAAAAGTTATCTGGCCTTAATTCCCTGTCAATGCAAACAACCACTAGGCAATGTTCCAAGACAGATAACCAACCTCTGCTAGAACTCGTCAGGAAGGTAAATTTGCTACCATAAAAGACAGTCCTTTCCATTAAACTCATTTTTCCCTTGTATGAAGAAAATCCTACCTCCCTGACCACAAATTGTCCTACTTGAGGTATAAGGAATACCTAATTCCTCAATAGTAATAGAGCTGCTAAAACTATTTAAAAACACTGCCATGCCTATACTATTCAAAGTGAATGGAAGTGTTTTTCTTCTTCAGGTTAAATATTTCCAGTTCTATCACCACATTTTCCAAGTCTTCCAGAATCTTGTCAAAGTTCATACTTGTTGATGTAACTATTCAGTGTATAAAAATTCACTACACTCCTACAATCTCACTGTTTCTTCAGCTTCTCCACAGGACAGTGTGATATATTCCACCCAACAAATCAGGAGCTCATGCCATAATGGAGGACTTTGTCAACAATAAAAATGAAGCTGATATCTAGGGTATTTGCACTGGTTCCTAAAGATCATGCTTCCTTTTGCTACGTACAAAGAATCGATTCAGTGGTCCTTTCCATTTTGCAAGTTTGTTCTGTATTTTATAATCCACCTCTATCCTGTCTTTGGAATTGTGGAGAAGTGACTTTTACACTGCCAGTCTTCCTCAGATAGACCAGCACTGTTCTCAAAGACTTCTTTTTTTAAAAGATTAGAAAATATAGTTTATTTAGAAGGTAAATTAGAGAGAGAGAGAAAAGAGATTCACCTCCTAAAGGTAGGGGAAGGGGCCAAAGAAAGGAAACATGGCCTGGCCATAGCTCAGAGGGCACATGACCACACCATAGCTTAGCAAAGCAATGGCCTAGCAATGGCAACTCCTCAAAGCCTTCTAAAACGTGGAGTTGCAATGATCATGGATGCTAGACATGGTGGCTCAATCCTATAATCCCAGCACTTTGGGAGGCTGAGGTGAGAGGATTGCCTGAGACCATGGGTTCGAGACCAGCCTGGACAACTTGGCGAGACCTCATCTCTACAATAAATTAAAAAGAAAAACTAGCTGGACATGGTAGCACAGGCCTGTAGTTCTGGCTACGTAGAAGACTGAGAGGAAAGGATCACCTGAGCTCAGCTGGTCGATGCCGAGGTGACAGTGAGTGTGCCACTGCACTCCAGCCTGGGAGACGGAGTGAGACTCCAACTCAGAAATAAATAAACAAGATAATAATCATGGATGGAATTCTTCAACCATGAATGAGAACCAACATTCTCTATTTTCCATCTATTGATACCACCTATTTCCAAAATTTTCAAAATAAGAATATCTACACTGGATGGGGAAATGCAAGGGCTACAAATGCCCAGTTATTCTCTCAGAAATGCCTGTGCCCATAAATACATCAGCTTGAATTCAGTGACCCTCATCTGGGGTTGATACCCAGCCTACAAAAATGGCCCTAGGCATGGATTACAGAGGCCATGACCTGTTACCAAATACCTCAAGGTCGGCACTTCAGATATGGAAGATCTTCTAGCAGCCTTTGGGTCAAATGTGGAACCCTAGTTGGTTGTGAGTCGGTTCTTTAATCCAGAAATGTGTTGCATAGCCAATGCTAACATGGATAAAATTCC